CCTGACACTCACAGGGGTTCCTGTCATGGGCACAGTGGGAGCTTCAGTCAAAGTTTATTAGAGGAGCTCCTGTTTGGTCACAAAATACAGAAAGGATCCCAAATAGCCCCCACAGATCCCCAAATCTCACTGATGAGTCAGAGATAACACAGACCCAGATCAGAGGGCAAAGGGTTAAAAGCCACCTGTTTTTTAATCCTCTTTTATGCCTTGGTTTGCTACAGGTGGACATCACTGGTCCTTTAATCAATGCATTTCACAGGATTGGCCAGTTAATAAAACACCCTTCAGTAAACAACTTTCTGGAAAAGACCCAGCTTATTACAAACATTGTTAGGGCATCAGTTATTTATGTTTGTTTTACATGCGGCCTTTCTGGGGGCTCCCTGGATGGGGGAAACCCTCCTGTAGCATTTCTGTGCCAGGTAAAAGGAGATGCATGGGACTTTTTCAGTCTTCAGCTTCTTGTTTTCTGTTATCTTATCTAAAGTTGTGCATGCTGTGCATGCCAGGCTAAGTACGCTGGAAAAACACCATAAAATGGCTCTAAAATGTACAGTTTAAAGGTCTTTTAAAGTTGTCTTATCCAATTAACTCTTAAAACATACATTATTTCTACTTATCTACCAATAACTCATCCCTTGACTGTCCACATAACCTCTGAATAGTGCTTTCCTTGACCAATTACCCTGTGCCACCAACACTGCAGAAAATGGAGTAGATGAAGAAGAAGAAAGGGACTGCACCCCAAATTCTCCATCTTGCTTCCTTTCTACACCATACTAAAAATCCCCAAAACTAAATTTCTCACCCAAAGGACATAGTATACTACCCTGTAATATACACTTTGGTGAATTCTAATCTGTCTCAAAGTCCTGGAAATTCTCTCCATGGATGAAGGTTAAAGGCAGCGTTTCTCTGGGGGTCAGGACCCCTCAGAGCAGACAGGGAAATATTCCTTGTGCCCTGGATTCCCACACATTTAGCCTAAAATTCTTTAACCATTCTGCTGTAAAGTTACCCAAAAATGTCCCAGATAAGTAGGATTAGAAGGAGAATAAATAGAGAACAACAGAATGACAGAAGATCTATAGAAAGACACATAGGTAGAAAATGCTCTGACCCCAGCATCACCAACCGAGGAATCCCAGAAGGCAGGATCCAAACCACAGGCTGGCCTCGTGCTCC